GCTATTTATGACCAATGCAATGTGAAATATGACGACGACTTTGTGAGGAATACTTTTCAAGATAATCAGCGGAAACCATTTTGACATTTAAGGCGTCTGTAACCTTGACCTTTGACCTAGTGACCCCAAAATCAAAAGGAGTCATTTACTAGTGATGACCAATCACTATGTGAAATATGAAGACTTTGTGATAAATAGTTTTTAAGATAATTAGCGGAAACCATCTGGTCTACCGACGGACAGACAGGCCGACGGACCGACAGACACACAGACCGACATTAGCAAAACAATATACCCGCTCTTCTTCGAATGGGGGGGCATAAAAAATATAAGCTGGATAAAACGTGTAGAAATGACCACAGACACTTGGGGTTTGGAGCTCAAAACGCCTTTAAAATCCAAATAAAATGCATATTTGTCAATCCCAGCACATGTACTGATCATATATATCAAAAAAACTTAATATAAGCCGTTTTGAAAAAAATCATATTTCAACATCTATAATAATACACGTGTATTATTATAGTTGTTGAAATATGATATTTTTTCAAAACGGCATATATTAAGATTTTTTGATATATATGATCAGTACATGTCCTGGGATTGACAAATATGCATTTTATTTGGATTTTAAAGGCGTTTTGAGCTCCAAACCCCAAGTATCTGTGGAAATGACGGATGAATTCGTAATTCTTGCAAAACCAGCCACGCCCTTAATAATTTTAGTTCCCGTTTTCAAAGCAAAGATCGGAACCAACGTCAAAATAGTCCGGCACTGCCATATATGGTACCGTATTTGTCACTAACATAATACGGAAATTTCTTTCCGTTGAAGCTTGAAGCGTATTTGCGCTTCAAGATTGGAGAAAAATTACAGGTATATAATAAATATAGATATTGGATCATGTATCCCACATATGGAAGTGTCGGACTATTTTTGACGTTGGTTCCGATATTAGCTTTGTATGACGTTGCAATTGTCATGAATTTATTTTTTGACAACTACATTTCATTTTCTGAATAAAACGAAAAGGTACATAATAAAAGGAAAATTATGTTGTAGTAGCTTTCTGAGGCTATGTATTTTTCTACAAGCAACGTTGGAAAATTGATATCTCGCACGACCTTCGGTCTGGCGAGATATCATTTTCCTCCGCTGCTCGTAGTAAAATACAAACAACATAATATTCCGTATTTAGGGATATTCAGGCAAAATAATGGCAAAAATAAAAAAGTGATCTTATATACTCAAATCACGCTAAAATGACATTTCTTAATGTTTCAGCATGAATTTCTGTTTAAATTCTATATATTTTGTATTTGAAGCATAAATATATCTATGTATGTTGAAGCCAATATAATCACTGAATAGTTTTAAAACAAGTCAGGTGACTTGAACAAACCCTTGAAGTTACAATAACAGATATTGTGGATAGTGTACGATTGAAACAAGTCTAAGTCATTCATTTGACATGTTCTTTACCGTTACCAGAGTTCAGTGTGACAACTATTGTGAAATCCGAGCGCTCTAACCTGACCCACGCGGGTCAAGTTAGCAAACCACCATTTTATCTTTATATGAAGAAAAGTTTTGTTCCTTTGACTGTCTAATATATTCATTTTGAAGGCATTTAGAGAAAAATAAATGAAACCTTCAAAACTAAGAATTGAAAAATTTTGCATGTGTCTTCCTTTTCTCGCGTAAACATTTACTATATTTTATAGTCGAATGCGACGTCACATTGTGTCATTTCGATTTATCATCCTGCAAATGAATATCAAACGGTCAATAGTTTTTTTTTCTACTATAATTATTATTATTTTTTTTTTTTTGCAATATTTACCACGGGCGAGTAATCTATGTAGACTTAGGAAAACGTATTGTTCTAGTTCTTTCCCCTGGCCGCTCTCGTAAATCAAATATCACCGCTGAGGTGTTATTTCAGTTCAATGGTCGCTAATATGCACTGTTACCCTGAGAGACGTGTTATTTTTATATTTGAAGCAGAAAATAATTTGAACGGAATGAAATCATTCATTGTATTGTTTGGTTTAGAACTATATCAACATTATTATCTTTCTTTTTATTTATTAAAATGAAGACTATTATGTGGCTGTTTGAACGATTATTTATCGATTTCTCGGCTTTGTTAATATGGATTAAATATCGATTTTAAACAGCTGAAATGAGTGAACCTTGTGACAGACTGTACCTGAGGTCTTCATATATGCTTACTATATATCGGGGCTAATTTTGTCATTTGGTTTAAACATATTTATTTAAGCTCGATTGCGAAAGAAGATCTTATATTAATCACGTTCGGCTCCGCTTCCTGAAACCAAACTGTACTGGTGTGATATGAAGAACCTTTTTTTCTTTTTTTGGATAATGAAATTAAATAAAAAGGCTATTTTTTCGTTTTTCGTGAAATACGGTTTATATTTTCACGAAACATGATAAAATGTCACAGATTTTGACTCGCCGTATCCTCTTTATACAAAATTTAACTTCTACAACGTCGATCAAATGGAGCAACTCTATATCCGATTCATTTATTATACAACAAAGTATTAGTCAAGGCGGCGTGTTTAGTGCCGATTTATGAAAGATATATATTAATCCTCTTTTGCACCGTTCACGGCAACGTAGAATGTTCTGCTACTGCTTGTGTAGATGATGTTACACTGAATAGTACAAACTTATAGACATAGCTTTTGACTACAGTTTGAAACAAAGATATATGATACAACATGCAAATACTGCTATATACTGGAAATAGGAAAACACAAAAATACAAATTCTTATCATATTGGTAAAACAGTAATGTCAAGTGAAAAAACAGCAACACATCTTGGTATTCAAAGTGCTACATCGACAAAGAAACAAATACTGAGTAAACATACTGTCAATGATAATCTCAAACAGGCAAGACGAACAACTTATAGTTTATTTTCTGCCGGGTTACAGTATATGGAGAAAATAGTCTTGATCCCGAGACGACGTTTATATTTGATAAGAACGTAAGTATCTCCAGTGGTGTTATATGGGTTAGAGGTTACAATCCAATCTTAAAAGTGCATATTACAATTGGGACTTTTCATAAGAAACTGCTTAAGCAAAAATATTATCGCCCCGCAAACTGTTGCAGAACATGCGCCATCTTTACTGTCGGGTTTCTACCAGTCGTGGAACAACATAAGAATTTTAAACATTTTCAATAATGTTTGTCATCAGAAAGTGGTGTTGAGAAAACTGGTTATAGTTAAAAGTATGGATAGCTCCAGTTGGTTCACTGAAGTTAACTTAAGAAGCTATTTTGGAAATACGAACTTGGTGATATCACTTACAACCTGGATCATCCTCATAAAAAAGGGTATGAAAAGGGGAAATATTTTAAATCGTCTCTTCACAGTTGAAGGAGAAGTTGATGACCATAGCTAAAGTATATAAATCATCGCAATTCATGAATATAGAATATACTCCTTGAAAAGTTCACCCGAATATCATAACGAAAGGAAACTGTTCGTGAAATAAATAGACTTCCTGTTCAATTATAGCTACTCACTTCAACATATATACAGGTAATAAAGCAGCATTCAATCAAAACACGGTACATTCAATGCGTCAGCTGTGTAATAGAGAATCAGAAGATATTGAACATTCCCTGTTCAACTGTGAAATCCTTAAACCACAACGTAAAGTAGGGATGTGTGTGTACAAAATATTAACTGGAGGAAACTTCATAATGATCTTTCTTCAAAACAAAAAAAAACTGGAATTAATTTAGACTGCACACATATCCCAGGTATTAAACCAGAAAACCTTCAAAAACTCGAGTATCTATCATTGCCAACGTCTTACATCATGTTCATATCTTCTTCATTCTGCAAGAAACAAGTCGTTATCGTTGGCAGAGTAATCAACACAGTGTGCAACATACATATTGTTATAGTTCCAGAGTTCACATAGATTGCATATGATATATACATGATATATACTGTGGGAGAAATTGTGAATAAACGTGAAGTTGTACAAAGGTAATTGTATGTATTCGGTGGTTGATTTATTGTCTATAAGACCTACATAGAGGTTCGTCTTTAAAGGCAGTGAAGATAAATAACAACAACAAAAACAAGGCGACTAGCAGAACCCATGCTACTGCTGTACCGACTCAAGGTCCAGGTCAACCTTGAAGGTTAAATATCAGGCAATATTGTGTATCCGTTCTTTAAATACTTTATCCTTTTTTCCTCACCAATGTTAAAATGTTCACATCAACAAGGCAATAAAAGGAACCTGTGCCGCAGCTGTGCAGACTCAAGCTCAACATTATTTTTTCGTATCCTCTTCGTTAACCCTATACCATGTATACCCCTTAAATGATTTTTTTTATCAAACTTGGTGCAATCTTTCATCTTAACTAAACAATATAAATATCCAATGCCGTTTCTATGCAGGTTCAATGGCATGGAAACCCTTTATAGTCGAAATTCGAACAGCTCGTGTATGCACTACAAATTGTATTCTTTTTAAATGACTTTTGCTCAGACCTAACTTAAAGGTTTCTTCTTGATATAATGATTAACTGCACTACATAATTTCCTTTGTGATGAGATCAAGTGGGGATATTCATCACTACTGTTGCAGTTCTTGTTTTTAACAAATTCCGGGCTCAGCTTATTTGTAGAAACCAAGTAACGATGCAATGCTAAGAAACCATCTGCTTTTCACCAAAAAGGCTGGTCGCAAACGCACTATGTTGGTTTTGTCATGACGCGGCCCATTTGGATTTAACAATACCATTTCATAATCGGAAACAACTTACCGGGAAAACTTTATTTCTTCTTACTCAACCGGACAGTAACATGTCTTTCCTGGATGTCAAACCCTTAACAATTCTTTTTAGATGCAGCTGTATAACAGTATAAACATAGCGAAAATGCAGATTATGAATAAAAACAACCAGCATATGAGTAATATGGAACATCAACTCCAAAAATATAAGTTCAAAACATAACAGATTTATTAACAATAACTATATTTATAGATGAACATACATTGTGAATGACAAGTTGTTATCTCATTGAATGAATGGAAAATGATATAAGAATAATGTATTATTGAATGTGATGTTTGAAGAAATAAGGTAGCAACATGATTCTTAAACAATGTAATGCCCACGTGCATGTTGAGGTAGAAGCGTCAAAATCGAGATTTTCACTCACATCTCTTCTTTTCCTGAAATGAAAAAAAAAACAACAAATCATCACTTAATGAGTTTTTATATGATCAGTGTAATCAGGATATCTATAAAACTGAAATTTAATGACTATGTACACTGTTTTTATTTTACATAAGATTCACTGGTACTGAATTCTCAAGATGCATATCAAAGAACTATTCATCATCACTTATATTTTGGTCGGATCACAGGCGTTCTGTAAGCTAGCTAATGTTAATTCTTAAATATAAAAATTCAAGTCATTCTCAAACCAAAATAAGAGGTTAATACACGGCAGGAGAGGGCCGGAAGGTGATAATCGGCCCGCAAAATGAATAATGGACCCGAGGGCTTTAGCCCGAGGGCCATTATTCATTCAGGGCCAATTATCACCTCCCGGCCCTACTCTGACGTGTATTAATGTCTTTAATACACGTTGTAGATCTAGTAGTAGCATTTTTTTTTTAAATACAACAACAAAGTTCTTTCGTTGAAATTCTTGTCTACTCTTCTACTGTTCTGTACAGAGATGTTTACTGTTTGTGTGTTGAAAGCAGTAGAATCTAGAAGCAAGTTTTATTTTCATTTTTTTCGGAATAAATTTGTCATATCATTTAGTAACAAAAATGTGTTTGTACTAAAAACGCTTAAGCTCTCATAATAAAAACAAAACAATTCGTGCTGACAACCTACTTTCACTTTTACAGTTAACTGTTTGATGACGTAAAATATGACGTCATTGTTTCAGTTTGTGCACGTGCACATGTTCTGCGGGCTGACAACTAGTTCTCGGCCCCGGGCCGCAAACTCATAATAGGTCACGTGACACTCATAATCAGTTGAAATCATAGGCAATTTTGTTACTATATATAGTAACAAGTGTATTAATAGCTTTAAAAACATATTCCAATAAACATAAAGATATTTGAAATCAAATATTTTCCAGAATAAAAAAATTACAACTGGTCATTACATATTGTGCTATTAAAATACATTATACTGATCCTCCATTGTCGAGTTGAGCTTAATTAGCTATATATAGAAAAGCAGTGAATATAAGTCACCAACTAATAGACAATGAAACTTTTTTTCTATCATTAAATGTAAAACTGCCTTTCAATAAGGGCTACGTGGGTTATTAATTATACTTATGAACAAGACTATTAAATTGAATGCAATTAAGACAAAATCTGTTGACATAGACCTGTTCACCCACCATTTACACTTAAAGGCATAATGTCACTTTAAGAAAAATGATCAATGAACCCGAAGGACCAGGAAGTATTAAATAAGATAAAGTATAAATTTTACTTTTAACAGGTGCTGCTGTGAATATGAAAATATGAGCAGATAAATAGGCTACCTTTTATGCTAGATATGTGCGAACTGTCCCTTTTATATATTTCCCACAACCTTCTACCGAGCAGTATCTAATAGTTGGTGCACAAGTTTCACATGTAACTAAATGTCCACATGGTAGAAAAACGATGCATACATCATTTTGTTTACATTTGGTACACAATGACTGTTGTTTCAACTGTTCATTTTCTTGTTTGAGCTTCTTCTGTTCTAAAAGTTGTGCCTTTTCTGAAATAAGTTAGTGAAACATAAAATTAATATAATATAAAGCCGTCAAGCTGTCCTGATCGATACATGTTAACGGGTGTGATAAAAGGGGTGTTTATATTTGTGTTAAGTGTCAAGAACGTAAGGTCCCAGTTATCTAATGAAAATTGCAAACTTTTCTTCCATGTATATTTAATAACTGTAAACAAATAAGTTTATGATTTTACACCCATTTTGTATGGGATAGTAGCTTTAAATTGCAATACATGCTTTCATACCAACCCCTTATTAAACTATATTCATATACACCTGTCTAATATAATTTCAACATATCAATCGTTTTACACACACTTTAAGAGTTTTGTAAAACATACATGTATGGCATGAAAGTATACTTAATTGGCGGACCATTGTGATCTTAAATCCTTCGTGTGTGAGCCATTGCTAATCATTATCTAAATTTCAGCAATTATTTTTTTAACCAAAGATTTTATTTTTTTTTGTCGTGGACAACCAGGCAAAGCTATTATAAGTTTATCAAGTAGTATAGTTCAATAGATCTCTATATAAGAGTGAATGATATTATTTATATCAATATAAGGTCTCTACGTGTTACAATGACCTTTAAATAACAATTCTTGCTTTTGAAGATGATATTTATCTCTTGAACTTGAAATTCATACAAGTGATTTGACAAAGAAATGGCAAAGTTACAGTCATATTTACTGACTGATTTACTCAGGTATAAACTTTGAGCTGACGATGTTTACAAAAAGGTATCGTAGACAAAAATGTTGCTTCAAGAGAGATAGCATTTTTATTGTTGTAAATGGCTCAGATGATAGTTTGTCCATCAAATATAAAAATATACAGTCTAATATTTTCAGTAACTAGAAACATTTTCGCAAAAAAAAGATAATTTTTTTAAATTATTATGTGAAAACTAATAATTTCGCAGAAAATTTGATCGATAAGTCTTCGGGTGTTTAAAATGTGTTGACACACACAAAAAGATGACGAACTTACAGAGATAAAACAAAGTAAAATAAAGAAAAACACCACGTACTAGATGCCCGTGATGGCAATGATCCATTTGCATTCATAGTCAATGAAGGTCCTTCTGTTTCTGATCCTGCATTAACACTGCTAAGTGCGTTTGCACTGGATGTCTGATTTTCGGAATTCAAATGCCTTTGGACAATGTCAGTTTCACTTCTATGTTCTGTTGTGTTTGTATCTACTCTAATTGTAGATTCGCCTCTATAAGTGGACGTATTTGCAACAGTTTCATTAAGTTGCTGTGGTAAAACTGCATTTTGTTCAGCACTTGAAATGGCGTCAGAGTCTTCAATTTCAAATATTTTTTCCATCAAATTAGTTGCTGATAACGTTGCCTGACCTAAATTGACATGAAGATAAAAACATAAACATGAGCCAAACTCGACTTTTTTATTATTCCAAAAGTCAAACACATTGGTAGAAGATTATTGCAATAAAGAATACTCCTAGAAAACAGACATAACAGTCTTGATTCAAATATCATATTCGGCCATAAATGTCGGTGTTTCGCATACATTGTTTTGTCACGTAGTGTCGTTTCATGTTTTTAAGTTTTTTATGCATTTAGCAAACCAAGACCTTCAAGTTTAGAGAATTAAGAAATATTGACATTTTTATAACATACTATTTGCATCCTTTATTGCCTGTATAGCTCTTCGTATGATATCTGGATGATAACCCATTTCTAAAACACTCTGTGCAGCATCAGTGTGCATCAAATTTTCAACATTAATTCCGTTGGCTTCACCACTGTTCGGCTCTAATAAGAAAATTGAAATGATCAATAGAATAAAGGTTGACAGTGAGAAATATTTTGTGTAAAAATAGAAAATAGAATTTAAAATTTTATTTCAGCAAAGTAATGTTGTGTGCATAATACTAAATCTGACTTATGTATTTATAGTTAAACTCAAAACAAAATCTTTAGAATAAACAAAATTTCTCTACCTGAAACAGATGTTCTGCTTTCCCCATTTGAGGCTTGCTAGACAAAATAAATGAAAAAGATATTAATTTATATTTTGCGTTTTCTAAATTGTTGTATGAATACAACGACTTGAAATTTAAGTGTGAAAATTAACAAAATATTAGAAAAGTCAAATAAAATGTAGTGTCTTTCCAAAAATATTCACAGCAATTAAAGGGTAAGATTGTTTTTACAATGCAATTTTACAACTATAAAATGTAGTTTGCCTGGACTATTTCTTATCAATATTATTCTATCCAATTAGAAAATTGTCTAAAGAAATCTATGATGTATTATGTATAATGTGAATAATAAACCAAATTACATTCTGGGAATACTGCACAGCCATTTGAACAATATTCACAAACTCTTGACCTCTCACTTGTTTAACAAATAAACAATCCTTTGACCATCTACTATGTTCGATCCAAGGATCATCTTCTTCTGACCAATGACGAAGACCTGAAAGACGTAAATTGAGTTAAGTAAAATCAAATATTAAATCAATGAGAAATCTGCATAACATATAACAAATAAAAGTTTTGGTAGAAAAATTAGGTGTGATTCCTCCACTACAATTTTAGCTATATCCAAAACAAAACACTCATTGAGTATGAAACATTACAAATTGCAATAACTTCAAAACCATGCAACAGGTGTTACACAACACTTTCCCCATATAAGATCTATCTGGCCTAGAAGTTTCAAGCTGATATTTCTAAAACATTTTAGTTACGCATTAAACAAAAATGAAGCAAAATTACAAAGGCCTTAACTTCATGACGCAATACAGAAGTATAGTTCTTTGACACTGAATTTTTCCTAAATATGATTCATCAAGTAAATGCCATAAATAGATTTTGAGAAATGCCCTAGATAGTTAAAGAATGACATTACAAGGACAACAACGTCAAAACTATATAAAGATAGTTCAAATTCAGTGGCACTCCAACTTTCCTAACCGAGTTTATAGATCTTCCTATTTTCAAGACGATACCAAAAATACGCTTTTGAATTATACCACAAACAATATTCAGTTAAACAAGAGTCATCGTGGGGCGAGGGCAATGCTCCACTTTTTTCTTTCTGATTTTCCTAAACAATTAATTGATTTAAACAAATCTTTAAAAAAAATGATAAGACATATTTTTTTCATTTTATTAATTTCAATACGCACTTGTTGCTTTGTTAAAAAATGGTCAAATTAGATGATATCAAAGTTAATACCTGTACATCAAAATAACATGAAAGTAGGTCACTTCGTTAGATTACTTAGGTCAGCTAATATCAAATTTCAGTCTAACATCTAAAACTGTGTACATGGTTCAAATTTTACAGCTGTACATCAAAGGTCAAGAAAGTAGGTCATTTCATTAAATTATCTAGGTCAATTTATATCAAACTTCAATTTCATATCTAAAACATTAGTTGCAAAGTCATAGCCATAACAGTAAGCTTTGTGTTCAAGCAAATAACACAGTAATAACCACTAATAGAATCACAAGAATGACCTGATGGACCAGCTGATTACAATATGGCTACCTATCTTACAACGTCATTGTATGTGGGTATAATTATAGAGATTTGTATTGGTTAATTGCTTGTTGATGCAGTGATTAGAGAATCAAATACAGAGAGTACTTCTTAAACACATACCGTTGCTTCTCTATTCAAATGATACATTCAAAGCTACACAGCATCAGAAAAAAATGTATAAAAACCAAAAACAAAAGAATTCATGATAACGTACCAACGCCACATTGGAAGCATCTAACACAGTCACCAAAGCCAGCATAAAAGAAACCAGATGTAGCTAGACTGTCAGGCGGTATAACTATATCACCACAGTCATTGTAACTTTGTATACGTGCAGGTTTACTTGCATATCTTGGATATTTTGGTAATGAAGCTGAAAAGAATGTTATAATCATAAGTGATAATATAAAACATGTTAATAAATAAAATACATTTTTCAAGGTGTGAAGTTATTAATGAACCAAAATCACAATATACTTAAATGACCTTATACTGTTCATGATAATTATATTTATAATGCTCACCTGAATTATTAATTTGCGACCCACTTAATGCCGTTGCTGCACTGCTCTGCTGATTGGCCAAGTTATTTTCTAAAGGCTGGTGCTGTACGTCTGACGACAAATCAGTATTTGTACCAACAAAATTACCATGAGCCCTTATTTGCTGTGATTGTGTATCTGCTCCAAAGGTTCCATTTGTGATTCCAATCCTGCTTGCAGGGGCCTGCGAAAAGCCTGTACTATTTGTCATGGTTACATCATTGCTGCTTGCATTTGCTGTTGAAATATTCTGAAGGGTTGTTTGATCAGCTACAGTCGCCCTATGTAATGTAGAAACACTTGTTCCGTTTGTAGATGACAAAATTGACAATTTTACTGGCACATTAACCTCTAAATTTCGCAAAAGAAAGCTACAGTTTGGATTCAATTGTCTATGTATTTCCATTGGATCATCATTTTCACGCCAGTTATTCTTTCTTCTAGCGCATGTGTAGCAAACAACTTCATCTCCAGTATTAGCGTAATAAAATCCAGCAGCTGCAATTTTTGTAATAAACGGCTTATTTTCCTTAGGAAATGACCTTAGTGTACAGAATCGTAACATCTCATATCGCATTGTGGTTTGAGGGGGTACTCTTTCTCCGGAAGCTATTTTATCAATTACATTCATCATCGGCTCAAATCGATGTATATCAGATTCATCAGTGTTTGGATATCTTGGTGGTGAGCTAGAGTCAGTAGTAACAGTAACTAATGATGGTGAGCTGCTTTCATTTTCCAATGTATCTAAACGTAATCTATTTTCATTTTGAGGTAGATCTGGTGGTAGATGTCCCCTTACCCTATGACCTTCCAACGTTTCGTTTGAATAATTGTTTGTGTCTACACGACCAACAACGGCTTCCGTATTTAAATTGCCAACCAAATTTCGTGAATATTCTTTTGAGTTTTTACCATTTTCTGCTATGTTTGAGGACGCATCACAAACATTCTTATTTGTGCTTTCTTCAACTAATTCATCTGCACATGCACCTGCACCACTTGTGTTCTTTTCTATGTTTCCATCTTGTAATGGCATGCTTCTTGGAGGATAAGCGCTCAGGGCACTATCAGTAAAAACTTGTGGCATGACATTGATAACTGGACCTCTGATATGCTCTGTAGCATCATTCCTAGATAATGTAGAAAGATTGTCATTTTCAAGATCACAAGAGTTCATTGGCGGTACACTTGATGTTCTTTCATGATTTTCATGGGGTGCAGATGGGCCATGTTGATTTTCATTGGATAGTGAACGCCGACGTTGGGTTTTTTTCTTTGCATTTCTGACCGGTGCTACAACGTAGTCATCATGTCTTTGACGATTCTCGCTTGGCATCTCAGTGTTGTTTCGAACAGTTCTTTTCAATGAGTCAAAACAATCATCTTGTGATTTCTTGTCCTTTGAAACAATGTCTTGCTCAATCTTTGAGCGCAAGTGTGTCCTATCGTTTTCATAGTTTTTAGTTTGTAAATTAACATCGCCATAAAATGACTTAGGCTTATTACACAAATCATTTCGTGTAGGCTTATCATGTAATTCATTTAATTTAACAACGTGTTCATTGTATGAACAATTTTCTTCTCTTTTTGACTTAGAGCACTCTTCAATGTTAGGAGATTGTAACGGTTTCATTTTAGAGCCATAAATATGATTTGCAGAGGAACTTAAATCAAGTCTTACAAGCGACACAAACCAATTAATGAAAAGAATCCATTCCAAACTGAAGTGTTTTTTATCAAAGTTTGTAATTGACTTATGCAAATAAAGACTTAAATTACAGAATAAATGATAGGGAATATATACGATTTCAATGAAATCTGACACTAAACGACGTAAAATTTCAAATGATAAATCTGACTCAATAAAACTAGGTAAAAATAATCCATATTTCGTACTATAGACTAATGAAGACGAAATTAAGAAATTGTCAACATATAAAGTGCGTGACACCCTAATGCCTGATTGTTTCAAATGTCTCATCAATGCGAACATCATGCAATGAGAATAAGAATTATGTAGAATACACACTTCATTAGTGTTTCTAGACAAATCCTTGTTTTTAATGTTTGCATGTAAATGTTTTCCTAGAATGGCTAGAATTGTTCTCCATTTTGTCGGATTCAAATCTGAAAGAAAAGATCAGCTCATGATAAGTATAGCAAACAATGTATTTTTAACATGGATGTCCCCTTTATGGAACTCAATTAGTCATGTAACAGTTCTGAATTGGTAAACTGTTTAAGAATGACCCAAAAGATTGATAGGTTTCATTCACATGAGGGTCATCATGGCCCTGAATTCGCTCACCTGAATATAGAAACTCACCATGACAAGAAACAAGTAATATTGTAAACAATAAACAAAAATGGATATAAAATCTAAATCTTAAACTGGTAACACAAAGTTCATATTTGTATAAAACCAGAACTGTGTCCAAAGGACATGGATGCCCCCACTGACAACATATATATGGTATATAGTGAAAAAATCAACAAAGGGCCATAATTCTGTTAAATTTGGTTGCAGCAAAAATTCTTTCCTTTACTACCATCTACACATTAAGGTTGTTCATCCCTGGAAGTTTAAGCAAAATCTACCATCCGGTTTAAGAGGAGTTGCGTTCACAAAATTTCTATATGGTATATAGTGAAAAAATCAACAAAAGGCCATAATTCTGTTAAATTTGGTCGCAGCAAAAATTCCTTCCTTTACTACCATTTACACATTAAGGTTGTTCATCCCTGAAAGTTTAAGCAAAATTTGTCATCCGGTTTAAGAGGAGTTGCGTTCACAAAATTTGTAAATGGTATATAGTGAAAAAATCAACAAAGGGCCATAATTCTGTTAAATTTGGTTGCAGCAAAAAATCCTTCCTTTACTACCATCTACACATTATGGTTGTTCATCCCTGGAAGTTTAAGCAAAATCTGCAATCTGGTTTAAGAGGAGTTGCGTTCACAAAATTTCTACATAGAATATAGTGAAAAAATCAACAAAGGGCCATAATTCTGTTAAATTTGGTTGCAGTGAAAATGCCTTCCTTTACTACCATCTACATATTAAGGTTGTTCATCCCTGAAAGTTTAAGCAAAATCTGCCATCCGGTTTAAGAGGAGTTGCGTTCACAAGATTTCGGGACGTACGGACAGACAGACGTACGGCGTGACGGACGGACGGACAGACGGACGGACAAGTGCAACGCTATATGCTCCCACTCTGTGGGGGCATAAAAAGTGTATGTGTAAAAACATTAATGGTTGCTACTGCTAATGGAGAACAACAGTTCCAACTAGAACTGCCACTATCATGGCGTGAATACCCCGCATACCACTTTGTCAGAATCAACAGTGGCCATTTAGCGCTAAATGACAACCACCCTGCCAATTCTGAGGTTACTAAGCCAGTGCATTGCTAACTTATGTATTATACATGCTTCAAATGCTTCAAAGCAGACAAACTTATTATAGTAAAAATCCCTGTGACCTTGACCTTAGATACAGTCAACTAAAAATCAATAGGGGCCATCTACTAGTCATAAACAACCTCAATACCAAATATAAAGACTGTTGACCAAAGCATTTTTAAGCCATTGAGGGAAAATGCTTTAAGTCAAGGTCCCTGTGACCTTGACCTTTGACCCAGTGGCCTCAAAATAAATAGGGGTCACCTAATTGTCAACCTCCATGCCAAATATGAAGACTGTGAGTCAAAGGTTTCTTAAGTTATTGGGCGGACAAAATTTTTGAAGTCAAAGTCCATTAAACCTTGACCTTTGACCCAGTGCCCTCAAAATCAATAGGGGTCATCTACTTATCATGATTAACCTCAATGCCAAATATGAAGACTGTGGGAAAAAAAAATCTTAAGTTATTGGGCGGACAAGCTTTTTATAGTCCAGCCCCCTTGTGACCTTGACCTTTGACCCAGTGACCTCAAAATCAATAGGAGTCATCTACTAATCATGACTTACCTCCATGCCAAATATAAAACCTGTGGATCAAATGTTTCTTAAGTTATTGGGCGGTCAAGCTTTTTTTAGATAATGCCCTTGTGACTTTGACCTTTGACCCAATGACTTCAAAATCAATAGGGGTCATCTACTTGTCATGACTAGCCTCCGTGCCAAATATGAAGACTGTGGGTCAAAGGCATCTTAAGTTATTGGGCGGACAAAAAAAACCACCGACGGACGGCCAGACGTCCGGACGGACGGACGAACTGATTCCAGTATACCCCCTTACAACTTCGTTGTGTGGTGGTATAAAAAGATGTGTACATATAAGGAAATTCAATAGCCCAAATAGACGGGGCCAATTTATCCCCCAGGGCTTTTATTTGAACAAAACTTGGTAGACACTCACTGGAAGATGTTTTAGGCTTAATGTCTGAGCTCTAGTTCTTTGGGTTTTTAAAAGAATATTTTTTTTAATTTTTATTTCTGTTGCCATGGCAACCAGAGTTCTAAATGGAACAAGCAATTATCATAGTATTGCAAGCAATCCATAAGTCCCCTACCGGTTAGGACCCCATCAACATTCTGAAGGGCCATTGGCCATTCACTAATGTTTCAATTTTTTCTCTATTTTAAGTAAATTTGTTCGAAAAGTTCTTTAAAAGTGATCACTGGAAACAGTTTTAATGAACATACAGACAGACGGACTGATGGACACTCTTAATTTAATATTTGAAACATCCCTGTTACCAGAATATAACATTTTAAAAGCAAAATTCTTAAAGAGGAGATAACTCTTGAATTAAAGATGCAATTTCATAAAAAAAAATTCAGCTCTTTTTGACTTATCACAAATATTGTTATATTTGCCATGTTTTAAGCCTATCTGTTGCCAAGGCAACCAATATTTTTTCAAAATAGGAAGAACAGATAAGACATGCATAATCTCAAAATTGCCATCTACCCATATTTCAAGTTTCATAAAAATATTTCCAGTACTTTTTGCGTTATCACTGGATCCAGTTTATGTGTAAAATTTGCCATATATTTCAGTCTATGTGTTGCCATTGCAACCAGAATATTCAACATAGGAAGAAAGGAAAAAGACGTGCATAAACTTCAGACTGCCATCTACCCATATTTTAAGTTTCATAAAAATATTTCCAGTACTTTTTGCGTTATCACTGGATCCAGTTTATGTGTAAAATTTGCCTTATTTTCAGCCTATTTGTTGCCATAGCAACCATAATTTTCAACATAGGAAGAAAAGAAAAAGATAATCTCCATACTGCCATCTATCCATATATCATGTTTCATAAAAATATTTTCAGTACTTTTCAAGTTATCGCGGGATCCAGTTTTGTGGACTGACGGACGTTCTAACAGGAGAGTAATTATGTGGCTACTCTACAGTATTGTCCTCTCTATTGTTCTTTTTAGCCACACAAAAGAAAATAGCCACATAAAAGCACATAAAAGCATTACGGAATGAATGACATCAAAGGGAAAGAACAGTTACCTATTGTCCCTCTAGCCACATAATTACTCTTCTGTGAGTGCGGACTGACAGACAGACGGACAGACGGACGGACAGACGGAAACAGCTATATTTCTTAAATTACCACAATGTATTTTTGTACCATCATGTTGAAGCTAAATAAAAATGTTTTATTTTTAAAAATCTCATCGGTGTTTGACCGTATATAATCGATATAGTCTTTCAACATAGTTACACGATGCTATTTATAAAATAAAAACACCTCTTTGAAAAAAAAATCAAATTTAATTCAACATATCTTTGAATGGACATACCCTTCTGCTCCTTCCTGCCAATGCCAAATGTAGTTTTGTTGCTACTGCAACTTTCATAGGTATTGTTTTTGCCAATCTTACATTTTTTGCCACCAATAAAATCCTTCGTCGCTATTTTGCCATCGTACATAGTTGTTTTTATGTCAGCATCACTAACACCGTAACTGGAATGTCTTCTGCCACCACTGCCACTGACACTGATTGGTTTTCTGCGAATCTCATTACTCAAATTAATCGACTGAAGATCAATCAACCGTAAAACCTATTAATTATGAAAAGGTACCTTCACTCACATTGCATGTATAGTATAAGAAAAGTAGTCTGGACATTTTTTCTATTTAGTGTGGAAATTGCACCAGTAGTTTTCGAGAAGTAGTGCAGACAATTTTTGTAACTGATAGACAGACTTACTGACAGACGGATTTTTTGTAAGTCGTGGCTACTTATGTATCAACTGCTTTATAGCTGACAAACGCCTTTATGCAAGCACAATGACTCAGCCAAAAAATATTCAAGCGGAAAACCAATTGTTCATGCAAAGGTTCTTTAGCAACCTATCAACCCTGTAAAAGTTTCATTCAAATTGCATTATTGATATAAGGGAAGTAGTCTAAATAAAAGAACAAGGTCAACATTGTCCCAATATACGCCCGTTACAGAAGCTTTTGACAGAGATGTGGGCGTTATAGATATGCATATAGGAGATATTCTCTGGGCAAATTACGGAAAATATTTGGAGATATTATCATCTCTAGTGATTTTTTATCTGAACTTTGACCCCTATGTGTGACCTTGTCCTGGCCACAGGAACTTCATTTTGCATGCGACATTTCGCCTCATAATAGTGAACATTTGTGCCAAGTTATATTGAAATCCCTCTATGCATGTAGAAGTTTTGCTCCAGACAAGCGTTTTTCTATGACTTACAATTGTGACCTTGACCTTTGACCTAGAGGCATGATTCATGCGCGCTACACGGCTTCTCATAGTGGTGAACATTTGTCTGAAGTTTCATAAGAATCCCTCTGTATGTGTAAGAGATATACTCTAGACAAAATATCTATATTTTACCATCTTTAGTGACCTTGACAAAAATCTTTAGTGACATTGACCTTGCACATATTGACCTAAATTACATTTCACACCAGTTGTCATGATAATGACCATTTGTGTTTCAATCTCTCAATTAATGATGATTAAATGGTCTCCATACACATTTTCATATTTTTATCTGAACTTTGACCCATCTGTGGGACCTTACCCTTGGCTACAGTGACCTAAATTTTGCATGCGACACTCCGTCTTACAAAAGTGAATATTTGTGCCAAGTTATATTGAAATCCCTCTATGCATGTAGAAGTTTTGCTTCGGACAAGCGTTTTTCTATGACCTCTAAGTGTGACCTTGACATTTGACCCAGAGGTCTAGTTCATGTGCATGACACGGCTTCTCATAGTTGGTAACATTTCTATGAAGTTTCATTAAAATACCTCCATGAGTGTAGGAGATATGCTCCGGACAAAAAGTGGACGTCGCCCGCCAGGGGGGGGGAAACTTACGACCCGTTTTTCAAACGGGCGTATATAAAAAACATTAAAGGGCCATAACTGTTGACGATATCCACAACTTCACTAGGTTCTGATCATACCTGTAAAATTGCAACAGTAATTTTATAGGAGAAGTCCGAACAGGTTTTGTGACGTAGGGACAGACAGACATTCATACGGCGGAGAAGTCATCCCTTTATGTCGCCGCTACTCTGTAGTAGGCGATATAAACATATGTCTCCAAAAACTTGTATGGTCACTCATGTGAAGTTTCATTGAAATCCCAGGAGTAGCTTGACCTGTGAAAGGCGGGCAAGATTTTTCTATTTATAGCTCTGACGGCCATTTTGTGCAGCGAAGCGGAACATGCCAGTATTGTGCACAACTAAAGATGGTACTGATCATTCCTGTAAAGTTTGGTTAAAATGTCGCAAAATTAACTACCGTTAAATGTCGCAACTGTAATGTTAAATGTCGCACGATTTACCCTTACCGGTAATGTCGCAGCACTACCGTTAAATGTCGCAAGAAATATATTCATGATAAAATTAAGCTTGTTAGTGGTATTATATTAAATAATCAAATGGTTGTAAATATTAAGTAACTTTGAAACCCGAATCTGCTGACTCAAGACGAAATATGCTTTTTTAATGTTTAACTAGAAGGGTTTTTGTCAAAAAAAACATGTCTTCCAAAATTATGGATGGTCCCTCATGTGATGTTCATTGAAATCCCATCAGTAGCTTGACCTATGAAAGCCAGACAAGATTTTTCTATTTATAGCTTTGACAGCCATTTTGTGAAGCAAAGCTGAACGTGCCGGTATCGTGCACAACTAGGAATGGTACTGATCACTCATGTAAAGTTTGGTTGAAATCTTACCAGTAGTTTGACCTGTGAAGGCCAGACAAGATTTTTCTATTTTTAGCTCAAGCGGTCATTTTGTGCAACCAAGCGGAACGTGCCGATATTGTGCACAACTAGGGATGGTACTGATCACTCATGTAAAGTTTGGTTGAAATCCCACCAGTAGTTTGACCTGTGAAGGCCAGACAAGATTTTTCTATTTTTAGCTCTGGTGCCCATTTTGTGCAGCCAAGCGGAACGTGCTGGTATTGTGCACAACAAGGAATGGCACTGATCACTCCTGTAAAGTTTGGTTGAAATCCCACCAGTAGTTTGACCTGTTAAGGCCAGAAAAGATTTTCCTATTTTTAGCTCTTGTGGCCATTTTGTGCAGCGAAGCGAAACGTGCCGATATTGTGCACAAATAGGGATGGTACTGATTACTCATGTAAAGTTTGATTGAAATCCCACCAGTTTGGCCTGAGATGGCCGGACAAGATTTTTGTATTTTCTGATCGAAGATCAGTAAAAACAAAGCTGACATTCAATCTCTGACAGAGAAATTTCACGACAAACCTAACAACAAGTAGTACTCCAAACAGCTTAAAACTAGCGATTTAAAAGAAAGAAATATTTTTATTTTGTTACAAGTATCCAACAAATTTCAACGCATTCAACGTTGGCTTATAGAATTGTCAATAAATGCAAAATCACAAATTACGCGGATGTATATGATTTTAATAAATGAAAATGCTATTTTAGCGATGTCGATTACCGAATACTACACAAATAAATCTGACTGCCGAGTAGTGGAATATATAGATTCTACATGTCGAACTGTTTGTGCAAAAAGATTTTCGCTAAATTATTTACTTCAAATTTAAACAATAGGTTTATCCTGAACAAAATACCTCGCAATTAATAAGGATTACAAACCCGAAATGCAATGGAAGTTCTAAATTTAGAATGACTAGATTTTATTCAGGCATCGTTTATATAACTTCTCCGTGATGCAGGGGTAACGCGCTCGTCTAGTGTGTTAGAGGTCTGGAGTTTTCTTCCAGTCGAGGCAACTTTTTTAAGTGTCTTTGTTAAGGAAGTAGCCATGATATGCAAGGATAAAGTGTGGCTGTCATAAAAAATGAACATAAATGATTTTTTGATGCAACTCTAGTTATGCAAAATTCCGTATGTATCAAACGCTGGTGCCTTGCAAGAAGAATTATAGTACATAAAATTAAACTTATACAGGAAAATACATACAGATATACAGTACGATTTAGATTGCAAAGATCAGAAATTACCACAGAGCTTGCAGTCCTTTGATTCTATTTTTAGCTCTAGTGGCCATTTTGTGCAGCGAAGCGGACCGTGCCATGGATGTGCACAACAAGGGATGGTACTGATTACTCCTGTAAAGTTTGGTTGAAATCCTACCAGTAGTTTGACCTATGAAGGGCGGACAAGCTAAATGTGGACGGACGGACAACCGGACGGACGGACAGACAGACGGCGAAGGCAAAAACAATATGTCTCCAAAAATTTTGGGAGACATAATTAATCTGTAAAAGTGATTGATAAAGGTTACAGTATGCAAATACGCTACATGTTAAGTGCATATAATAATCATCTGTTTAGTAAAATGCTTTGCGTACTTTTGTCAATCTACTTGCCCCACACCGCTGTGGGTTCGAATCCCCGCAAGAGACTTAGTATTCTTTTATATGAGGAAGATAGTCCACCTAGTTTATGGAACGTCGCTGGTTTTATTCAAATTCCCGTTCGTGACTGAAATTATGCACGGAAAGGCAAATAATGTCCTTCTTCACCAGTAAGGCGGAAAAGTTACCATGTCCTGACTCTGATGGTGCGCATTAAAATCCAACAAAATTCTATTTGTATCAGAATGCTTATTTTGTATATATTGCTGTAAGTGCTAACGTTCAACAATCTGAATATCAACTTGATTATTTTTGGTTATACGAATTTGTTTTAGTTCATTTGTGTTGGAAGCTCTAATCGTATTTAAACACTGGAACTGAAACTAACGCGTATAAAGTTTTTTGCTAACAGTAAAAACGTTTTGCACCTAACTGGGTTTGAACCTACGTAACCATCTTTAGATGTCTAGTCTGACGCGTTAATCACTCGGCCATACCGCCTCTAACTTGATTGTTTTTTAATAATCTTATTACGCACATTCAATGTGTTCGATGAGTTTAAGACCCAGTGAATCAGTTAAAAATTTAAATTTTTAAAAATTTTGGGTATTTTTTGGGTTTTGGGCATTTACGGCTGTGCAATTTGGCCTTTATTATCCCCAAAACCAGGAAAATTTTCTTTTGAAATTTCAAATTGACAAACGAAATGAGAATATAAAAAATTTAAAATTTTCCCGAAAACCATCAAACTTTTTTAAAACCTTTTGGCTTAACTCGGGAAACAGGCCTATTAACCGGGGGCCAAAATAAATATTAATGTCAGAAATTACAGTTTTTTGGGAAATTTCAAATTTTTAAAATATAAAATTTTTTTAAAAAAAAAATGGTACGTGAGATACACCAGTTTTTAAAACCTATTCTGGCTTTTAAAAGGGGTAACCCCATCATTTTACTTCCCAAAGCAAAGATTTTTAAAAGGGATACCAAAAAAAGTCTTTTATATCCCTTTATTTCCCAACGCGACAAATTCAGGCAATAACTAGCTTTTTTTCCTCAAACACATCCACCCTTCATTTATTTCAACGGTATCAAACTACCAGATATGAATTTATATATTGCGACATTTAACGGTGGTGTTGCGACATTTAACGGTAAGAGAAATTCCTGCGACATTTAACGTTACATTTTCAATTTTAACGGTAGATGATTTTGCGACATTTAGCGATAGTTGCGACATTTTAAGCGGCAATGTTGCGAAATTTAGCGGCAACTGTGCGACATTTAGCGGCGTTGCGACATATAACGGCGCCACACACCGTGAAAAGAAAATTACCTGTGTTGTGTTAAACTGAGGACACTCTTCACTTTTCATACTGCTGCCTATAAAAAAAATATAAGTAAATCGGTGATTAAACATCCCACAATCAAAAAAACAACCATTGCTGAGAAAAAGTGAACAACTTCCATTTTTTTTACCGGTTTCCCCCAAATTTTTTGGATAAAAAACCAAACAAGGGGGGCCCGTGTTTGGCCCAAAAAATTCCTCACAAATATTGGGCCCCGGGGCAAAGGTAAATTTTTAAACCCAGGGGCTTTTTATATATCCCAAAATTGGAAAAATAAAATAAAACCCCCTTGGGGGGGGCCCAAAATTTTAAAACCCCCAAGGTTTTTATTTGAACAACGGGGAAAGACACCCACAAAGAGATTTTTTCATTTTTAAAAATATTAAGCTCAGCTTTTTGGTTTTTTTAAAAAAGGAAAAATTTTTTTAAGAACAATTTTTACTATAATACAAAAAAGGGAAAAATCTTTCCCCCTTGGGGGGGGCCAATTTGACCCCGGGTATTTTTTTTGAAAAAAAATTTTGGTAGAAAACCGCATAAATAAAACACTAAATAGTAATGTAGGAACACAGTTTTTTGTATTTTCTGATCGCAAGATCAGATAAATACATAGCTAACATCCACGGTCTAACACAATATTTCCCAACAGTCCTAACAACGCAATGTAGTTCTCACTCAAAACTGCTTAAAAACCAGCAATTTAAAAGAAAGAACAAGTTTTTGTTACAAGTGTCCAACAAATTACTACACATTCAAACTTTAAAAGTAGCGTTGGCCTATGGAATTGTCAATAAATGCACACTCACAAATTACGCGGATGAATATGATTTTAATCAATGAAAATGCTATTTTTAGCGATATCGATGACCGAATACTACACAAATAAATCTGACTGTCGAGTAGTTGAATATATAGTTTCTACATGTTGGACTGTTTGGGCGAGAAGATTTTTGCTAAATTATTTACTTCAATTTTAAACAACAGGTTTACCCTTAACAAAATACCTCGAAATTACCCTAACCCAAAATGCAATGGAAATTATAAATTACGAATGACTTGATTTTATTCAACAACTGATGTTATAAATTGTCCGTGGTGCAGGGGTAACGCGCTCGTTTCACGTGTGAGAGGTCTGGAGTTCAAATCCCAGTCGAGTCAACATTTTTTTAAATTCTTTTTTAGTGTCTTTGTTGGAAATAGCCACGATATGCAAGGATAAAGTGTGGCTATCATAAAAAATGAACATAAATGATTTTTAGCAACGGATATACATGTATACAATCATTTATAATCCATATGTGTAAATGCATGATCAACACCACACTTGTTCCTTATTATGTTATCGCTATTTAGCGAAGACCCCCTCTAAAGGTATCTGTTCAACAAAAGCATAACATTAGATATAAATAACTGCTTCTGTATATATTTTGGGTGAATTTTATAATTTCTAGACATTTAATATATTAGTTGAAGGTATCGACTTTTTAAAATGTGTATCGATTATTGATCGGCAAAAAAATATCAACGATACATCGATATTGTCGATATCGATGACAGCTCTATGTTTATGTATAATAAAATCAATAAATTTGAGAGTTGATCTGTGTTTTATTAATTATTGTAACCAAACTAAGTGACAAACATTCATTTGAAAAAACTTATATAACTGTAAATATTTGTTCTGTTCTGTAACGATATCAAACATCTACTCGAAAACCGGGAGAGACGGACAATAAACGTGTGGTACTGTTCGCCGGTCACTAGTAAATTCCGGTCAAAATAGACCAGGAGAGACCGGGAATTACCGATTGGAATACACCCCTCTATAAATAGATTTTCGGAATATATAGGTCACCAACTCATCATTCTTTTCAGCTTTCGGATACATGAACCATAATAACCCACTGTGTGTACTACAAAATGATAAATAAAAATACCCCGAAGAGCGCGATTTATTGACGGAAAAGGTTATTTCATTTGAAAATGTTTGCATTGCGAAATTCTCCAGTTCGCTATTCATTGTATATATCGCGACATTTCATTTTTAAATAATAAAATGGTTTCCTGCGGGGAAAGTTTTTAAATGATATTAAATATATTTCATTTAACTATTTTCAGGGGGTGGGGCGAGGATAAATAAAGGTTTGTATCTGGATATATTTGACAGTAATCGATTAATATAGAAGAAGGTCTTTGGAAACTGGTGACCGTTGATGACCGGAGAAGATCGAACATAAAACAATTATTTCTTTTTTAAGAAAAAAATTAAATAGGCCTACCATTTTATGAATAATTCCGAGCAAAAAAAAAAAGTAAACACACAAGTATTTATGATGGCAGATGCCACTACGAATATTTTAATTTTGTAGATTTTCAGTATAAACAATTTATTGTTTGTAACATTTTGAGATACATATTAAAGAAACATTGATCATTTTCAAACACATCATTCAAGTTTTTCCATCTTAAACGGTAACATAATTATAGAAAATTAAAAATATCACGTAATAGTTTTTTGTTCTTAAATAGACCTGTGTCTAATTCCCTAGAGGATTATCTGTAACGTACCAGCCAACGGTATTTATCCAGGTTTCCGAAAAGGTCAATTAACCAATCATGTACGGTTTACAGATCACATGCTCCTCCATGTACCGAAAAACAGGTCACGTGCTCCTCCATGGCTCTAAAGTTAAACGCGTACCAATACCCTGTGGTCTCCAGACCGCAGTTAAGCACCCTCATACTGGTCGGAATAAACGGCTTTTATTATGTCCGACTAAAAGGCTCGAGAAGTTGCTGTCGCCCTTTCACATTGCGCCGAGGACGCCAAAAATAAACTTATACAGGAAAACAAATACATGTACAGATATACAGTACGATTAAGATTGCAAAGATCAGAAAATACCACAGAGCTTGCAGCCCTTTGATTTTATTTCTATACAGATTGCCATAATGCATAGATCACTACCTATCTGTTATTATCAGATTAGTACCTTCAGACAATAAGATTTTCAATATTTTACTTTATGACATAGTGACTGAAAATCAATGATCCCTAGGGGCGGGCCAATTTTGACCCCAGCGCTTTAATTTGAATAAACTTGCTAGAGGTTCACTACACAATATTTAATGCAAAATCTCTAGCCTTTGTCAATTAGAGAAGATGATTTTTTTAAAGTTTTTACTATTAACATGTAAGGAAAACCTATGACCCCCGGGGCGGGGCTAATTTTCACACTATAGGCAAAATTTGAACAACTTTGGTAGAGTACCTATAGATAATATCATATACCAAATATCAAAGCTCTAAGCATTGTACCTTCAGACAAGAGGATTTTTAAATTTTTTACTGTAAGTACATAGTGAAAATCAACGACTGGGGGTGGGGCCAATTTTGACCCCAGGGCTATAATTTGTACAATCTTGCTACAGGTTCACTACACAATGTTTCATGCAAAATATCTAACCTCTAGCCTTTGTCAATTTAAAGAAGATGATTTTTTAAGTTTTTACTATATACAAAAAAGGAAAACCTATGACCCCCTGGGTGGGGCTGTTTTTGACACTAGAGGCAAAATTTGTTCAACTTTGGTAAAGTACCTATAGATGATTTCATATAACAAATATTAAAGCTCTAAGCATTGTACCTTCAGACAATAAGATTTTTTTATTTTTTACAATATGTACATATTGAAAATCAATGACCCCCTGGGGCCCATTTTGACCCCAGGGCTATAATTTGTACAATCTTGCTAAAGGTTCACTACACAATGTTTCATGCAAAATATGTAACCTCTAGCCTTTGTGAATTTAGAGAAGATGATTTTTTAAGTTTTTACTATATACATATAAGGAAAACTTATGGCCCCCGGGGTGGGGCTGCTTTTGACACTAGAGGCAAAATTTCAACAACTTTGGTAGAGACCCTATAGATAATAACATATGCCAAATATCAAAGCTCTAAGCCTAGAAATTTTCAGACAAGAAGGTATTTTAAGTTTTTACTATATGTACATATAGTGAAAATCAATGACCCCGGGGCGGGGCCGATTTGGACCCCAGGGCTATAATTTAAACACTCTTGTAAGAGTTCTACCAGACAATGCCTTATGCAAAATATCTAAACTGTAAGCCTTTTGGGTCTATTCAAGAAGATTTTTTAAATTTATTCTTATAATTCATTTTGGTTACCATGGCAACCAGATTTCTGCATGGTATGAAATTCTTTGAACAACTTTATAAGCCCTTCACCCAAGGATCAATTCTGCAAAGCTTGGTTGAAATTGGACTAGTGGTTTTTTACAAGAATATCCTTTAAGTTCACTATATTATCTATATAACACACACACAAACACACAGGTGAATCGCTATATGCCACCGCATCGCAGATGCTGCGGTGGCATAAAAATGTGATCACTTTTTCGGCGCCGCCCCCATCAAAAAGGTTTATCAGGGAGTTGCTTTAATTTCTGTTTCGGGGGTTTTAAAATTTTGGACATGTGACAGGCTAAAAATGGCCTCAGGTCGATCGTAAGGTAATGCTCATGCGGTAAAGGGTTAATGTTACTGTGGAGGTTACTGTTGCTAAGGGAAATCAATGATTACTGTGGAAGTCACTGGTTGCTTGGAAATGTCACTGGTCCCCTAAGCAATGTAACATGCAAAATATTTAAGCTCTTTGCATTCAATGTAGTTTCACGAAAGAAGACTTAAATGTATTTTCCTATACAAGTCTATTTAACTAAGTGACCCGCAGACAGGCCCAATTTTGACTCCTGTGGCATAACTACCTCAGAGGAATTATTTATATACTTTTGTAGAGGTCCACTTAACAATGCACTGCAGTGTGATGTATATATATATTGTAGATGACCACAAGTTGATACTACATGCCAAATATCTAGGCTCTGGATATTGCATTTTCTGTGAAGAAGGCTTTTAATTTCACTTACTATGTATGAACTTCAATAAAATGACGTTATTTCGGTTTTAGGATGACGTCATTTCGCCGTTGTTATTTAAAGATGTAAATTCATACTCTATTATTAGAAAATAGTTATGGCTGAAAGGACTTTAATTCCCAAAAACAAATATCTTATTGAGGTAAACCATTTTAAATATAAAAGAATATTGCAGAATATGCAACAAAAAAGTATCTGGCATGTTTGCGTCTCAGATCGAAAAACAGTATAACTTCTGAAAACCGAACACCTGTGGACGTTCGGAATTTGAAAGTTTCCGGAATTCAGAAGTTCGGGATTATCTGGACAATTTAAATAGAAACATTAAAGAACTGCAAAAAGCACTAGATGCAATGTCAAGTTATTGTCAATTATGGCATTTACAAGTTAATCCTAGTAAAACTAAAATTTTTGTTTTTGTAAAAGTAAAGAGGTTTATGTAATGTCCCAGCCTTTAGTTTTGAAGGTCATTTGCTAGAAATTGTTGATGATTTTTCTTACTGGGTGTTAAGTTCTCTTATAATGGTAAATTTGCTAAAACAAAGAATCATTTATTAGAACAGGCAAGAAAGGCTATGTTTTCAATTATAGTTAAGGCTAGAAAATTGGATTTACCTATCAGTATGTAAATTCATTTATTTGATAGCATGGTAGCACCTATATTGTTATATGGTAGCGAAGTGTGGGGAATTGAAAATGTGAATATCATAGATAGATTTCAATTAAAATTATATAAACTCATATTAAATTTGAAACAAGTACTCCAAATTGTATGCTTTATGGAGATTTAGGGATATTACCTTTATTTATTCATATAAAAAGTAGAGTTTGGTGCTTTTGGAATAAGATTTTAAGTAGGAAACAAGAATCAATAAGCCATATTTTGTATGTTATGTCACACTCTTTGTATTGTAGAAATGTGTTGAAACTCCCATGGATGAATAGTGTTTGTAAATTACTAGATTCACTGGGTTTATCAAGTTTTTGGATTAATAATGTTGCCACTTCTCTTCCATTGTCTTTTTTCACTTCTTCTTGTTTCACTTCTTATCAATAAGATCTATCATCCTATGAAGTTTTAAGTCTATAGCTTTTATAATTTATGAGAAATGGTCTGGACAAAAATGAAGTATGAAAATTAACAAGAGCCCGGTTTGAGCCGGGTGATGCTCCCCGAATAGGTTTTGGACACAGGAAAGTACACCTCTTGTAGTTTCAGAGTAATGTCCCTGGAAAAAGTTCAAAGTGCAATAATTCCAAAATTAGGCAAGGCAGAGTTACTGTTCTTTGCACTGCACTTATAATCAATGTGATCTATCAACCTACAAAGTTTCTTGATGATATCTCTTATGATTTTCGAGTTATGTCCCGGACAACTTCAAAAAGTAAAAATAAAAAAGGGCAATAACTCCAAAATTAGGCAAGGCAGAGTTATGATTCTTCTGCACTGCACATCTACCCATTGAGATTACGCTCATTCTCAATAAAACACAGCATTTGATGTTCCACTGGGTAGCTCTTATACGAAGGTTTTTCTTGAGGTCAAAATGTCGTTAGAAAGGTGGCTGCCACTTTGTCTAATAGGGACACTCTCAGTTTTACATTTCTATCTGTTATTTTTCTTTTACAAGTACCATTAATGCCCTAAAATGTAACATACGTTACTGTCGCCACCTAGAATTTTCAACTTTGAAATTGTGTTTCAGAAAAATAAGTTCCAGAATAAACGAAACATGTGCAATTAGTCATTGCTGTGTGTATATGCACTTTGATTATTGGTAAAAATTATATTTGACTGTGAAAATCTCATTGATATAATGAATGATCAAATGTCGCCAAATGCATATAAATAAATAGTGACAAACCTAAAACAATAAGAAGTGAAACCCAAATTACATAATTGAATCGATGCATGCTTAATAATACAGCATATATATAATTATAAGTAAAAATAAGCTTGCAGCCTCTCAAATATCATTCTATTTTCGGAAATTTTCAATTTTTATTCAAATCTTTTCAATAGCACTTTATAAAGAAACATACGTTACCATTATTTAAGAGCCAATCCATTCAAAGAAGAATCCAAACAAGAAAGAATATTAACATGTGTGTAACTCTGATATATTAACCACAAATTATGGCGACTTAAACGGTCTTGCGTCATTTTTAACCCACTTTCAATGTAAAAATGAAACATACGTTACAGAAACATACGTTATCAACTTTTTAAAGTAAGTTTATCAAAAGGGAAATTGAAGTCAGAAAGCACGTATAACATCAACATTAACTTCTATTTGACATTAGTAAGTAAATTTTGTTAACTTTGGTCGTGTTTTTACTTGTTTAAGTAACCACAGTGAAACAAACGTTACTTTTATCAAACAGACTTTATATTGTTTACACATGCATATATAAAAACATAAAATCGCATTTTTATGACAATAGAATGATGTGCATTTGATTCCTAAATAAAAAAGTCGATTTTACATGTAAGTTTAAATTCCGTGATAAAGTTCATAAATAAGCGAGTGTGAAACATACGTAACTCCAACTTACAATTCAACAATTTTTGAAAATTAAAGATAAAATTGGGATTAGCATGCCTGTTAGTAACGGTTACCTTCTATAAGATGTAAGAAGACACAAAATTGTTTTTACAAAGGAAAGATATGTTAATAATATGTTGATATACCAGCAGAAATGTTAAAAATATAGTACAAGATATTGATGTTCTCAGCAACCACTTATTCGTTTCTGCAAAGAGCTTACTGGCCGTATTTCATTCTATATATAATAGTGTTAAAATAATATCCATAAATATAAATTATTTTACAAAAAATAAAATTGTTTTCTCAACCTTTACTTGCATTTGAATAAAATGAAACATACGTGACATCCTATATGGGGATGAATATCGAACTGTTTAGTACTAAATTTTCCAAATATTAAGAAAGTGGAAAGTTGAATATTTTGAGAGAAAAAAATGCTTATACAAAAATTGTGTATGCATTCGACCTCTCATATATTATATATGATATATAACCTTTGAATGAAGACATAAAATAATCATTTTCAAAATTGACTATTTTTGCTTTCTACGAATATTTAACTTTGAAGAAATTGACTGAAAATTAGCAAGGTACCAAACTTCTTTGAATTTTCCTGGGTTAGAAAGTCCCTCTAGATGGAGAATTTACAGATTTTGATATATTCTACAGACATTTTTTATTAATAAGCAGCCAATATGTTACATTATTAGATCTGAAATCTACGTTACCGAAGAAATACAGTGTCATTACCGAAATAAATGCCATCCTGTTATATCATAGTTTCTTGTTCAAAATATTTCTGGCAAACTTGCAAAATACCATAAACATTTACTTCAGCGATAAAAAATGACACAATGACAACATCAAATTTTTAATATTTTTCAACCTCAAATGCTTTATTTTATTGAGAATGGGCGATATATCTACCTACAAAGTTTCATGTTGATATCTCTTATAGTTTTACAGCTATGTCCTTGACAAGATTTTTCTAAAAGGGGAGATAATTCAAAAATGAGGCTTAACAGAGTTATGGTTCTTTTGCACTGCACCTCTACTCAATGAGATCTATCTACCTACAATGTTTCATCTTGATATCTCTTACAGTTTTAGAGTTATGTTCCGGACAAAGTTCAAAGTGTTAAAATTAACAAAGGGCAATAACTCCAACATTAGGACAAAAAGTGTTATTGTTCTTATGCACTGCACATCTACCCATTGAGATCTATTCACCTACAAAGTTTCATGTTGATATCTCTTATAGTTTTAGAGTTATGCCCCGGACAAGATTTTTCTATAAGGGGAGATAATTCAAAACCGGGCAAAATAGAGTTATGGTTCTTTGACACTGCACTCCCCCTCAATGCCCTCTACAACTGTATGAAGTTTCAACAAATTATCTCCAAGGGTTTTCAAGTTATGCTCCGGACAAGACAACGGACGGACAGACAGACAGACGGACGGACGGACAGACGGACAAGGCGCCGACTATACGCTCCCCCGAAATTTTTCGGGGAGCACAATAAAGGGTAATAACTCAAAAATAAGAAGTGCAGAGTACAGTTCTTGTACACATCACTTTTTCTTAAAGAGATCTATTATCATATGAAGTTTAAAGACCATAGCTTTTATACTTTAGGAGAAATGTCCTGGACAAAAATAAAGGATGAAAATTAACAAAGGGCAATAACTCAAAAAATAAGAATCTGACTTATATTGATTGACTTATGCTCCGGACAAGTTTAAGGGGACGCCGACACCGACGCCGACAACGACGCCGACGCCGCCGACAAAAGTAACCCCTATATGACTGTCGCCTTTTTCAAAACGACACACTAAAAAACAGGAGTAGAAATTTCGGGATCCTGAAAAAAGGTCGGATTCCATAAGTTTTCATTCTTGCATATCAGACTGGTGTTTTAGTTAATTTTATCGATGCCGGAAATTTCATCTAGCATAGGGGTGCCAATAAGTTGCGCGCTCTACAAAGACGTCATTTTAGCGCATTTTATAAACGACTCGCGTAAAAATGACGTCAGTTTGGTGTTCTTTATGAAGCTATCAATAATTATTATCAATGAAACTATCTGCCTACGATGACGTCATTTAGCCGTTATGGATAAAGTCATAAATTCATACGCTATGTTTATAGACTTTAACCATTTTAAATGTGATAGAATATAAGAGAGAATATCTCGTAGTAGAATATGCAAGAAAAAACATCTGACAAGCCTTGTTACCGATATAGAGAATATAGAATGGTAATACCTTTTGTCTCGCAATGATGATAAGGACACACTTCATCACTGTTTCTAGACAAATCATTGGTGTTACTGTCTGCATGTAAAAGTTTTCTTTGCGAAATAGATTGCATGGCTATATTTCTTCTCCATAATTTTGCTTCCAAACCTGAAAAAGATAAATTTATGATTAGTATAGCAAACAACAGATGTTTCTGAAACATGCATGTCCCCCAAATGGAAATCAAACAGTCATTTTACATATTAGAGTACTGTTTAAAGATAAGAACGCAATATTCAGTCCTTTTTCTAATCCACTTATGACTAAAAACTCATTAATCATATACAAAAGGCAAAGGCCTCTACTTATAATTAAACACATTTAATGAAAAATAAGATATTTTTATTTAGACCAACGTGATCTTGGTTTTAGACAAACTTAAGTAAACAGCATTATAAGCGTCATCTCCTAGACATGACCAACTTCTGCACCTAGTCCAAATATTGTTTGTCAAGGCCAAGGTGAGCTTGACTTTTGATGAACTGATCTCAAAATAATATGGGTATACTGCTAGCCATAACAAACATTTTCAATATTTTTAATTTAATAAAAATAGAAATTTTTATCACTTTATTAAAGTAGAACTACGGAATTTAACCTAAAAATTTATTATAGATAAGTAAAATTTTCAATTCCTTTTACTTACCAACAACTGGCGGGGTATTTTGAGATATGCAAACCATGATTCTTCTAAGTTTTCGTCTGAAAAAAGAAATTTAAGTTATATTCCGGTGCCTATCTTCCTGTATCAATAATAAATGTCTGTTGTTGCACTTTCCATTACCGTCCATGAACAGGCTCAATCAAACCGAGCCTGCAACATTTTCAATTTTGTTTTGTTGGGCCATGTGGGCTTTCTTTAGAGATTCTTTATTTCTCTCTATTGTATTGTGTTCAATTATTAAGCAAAATTGAATTTAGTGGCGTTGATCCTTGCATTTTGAGAGAGTACCTGTCGGATACGAATGTGTGGCAATCGCAACTACTCGGCCCTTTCGGATAACGACCTCAATCACAATAGTATGATTACACAGAACGGATGCGGTATTTCGGTCAAACCTACGCTAAGAAACTAAACATGTAAACAAATAGTAATTTAATGCTTGGAGTTGTTGACAAGTTTATTTCTAACATATTATGTAGGAAAAGTCCAACTGAAATAAGTGAAATTATACATATGTAGGTACAACAGCAAACAATACATTATCTATATAATTATTATTATGGTATAGGAACCGAAAGTACAAAAAACCAACCTGTTGACATTTAGTCGGATTTGTTTAAAACTGTACATCAGTGGACATATTTGAATTACAAATTAATGTCAGACATATTTTATATCATAAGAATACCGAAACATACATTAAGCGTAGTTAAAGGCTTTCAAAGACGTGATTGTAAGTTATGACACATAGAAAACAGAAATTTTGGGATGAATTAGAGCCGTTAGTACTTAAAACGTGAATTGATATTTATAACAGATATACAAAATTAGCGTTACTAATAATTCAATGACCAAATGTTCTCTGTTCAAGGTATCATTAACTGACCTTTTCATCAGTAATTCAAATTGAAACAGCAAGGTGTTAAAGATAAATTTCATAACCCATGTATTACATAATATTACACAATTTGTATTCCTTTGAAAGTTGATTGGCAAGGCGGTAAGCGTCAAACGGATTGACACGTGACCGGTTATTATTTGCCAGCCAGCATACAATATCATTCAAACGGGACGCTATAGTACCATACCATAATCACTTAAAATTATGAAACTAGTAATTTAAGTTACTTTTATTAAGACCAATCTCATCAATGAATATCAATTTTGTGAAGTGACAAATAGTGTACATGAGGTGCATTTTCAGGTGTTACGAGGAACCGGATAAAAAGTGTGTTATTTCACCACCCATCTGAACTTCTTAAGAATTTGAAAAAAAAATTAAATATATTTATGTGACTTAAAAAAAATATGTTGGGCATCACAGTCAAGTCGGATTAAGTATAAAATTAGGTAAACTGAAAACTAAAAATGCATTTTACTATCATTATCCGACTTATTTTCAGAATGATAATTAACTTCGATTTTATATGTTATAAAATTTCTTTAGCTTTTATACGGACGGTTTCAACAACTTGTTACAATTAAATTGACTTTTTATATGCATATATATATATATAAATTTCCCCATTTTTTACAACAATTATTTTTATTATCTCAGTGTCAGGTCCGTGATCGTAAAGGGGAATTCTTAAACAATCGTCTTTTCCGTGCCTTTTACGGCAATCTTGGCCACAAAGCTAACAAGAGGGCCATGATGGCCCTGAAGTTGCTCACCTGTATATAGGCCCCCGGAGCGGGGCAAGTTTAAACCCCAGGGCTTTTATTTGAATAAACTTGGTAGACACCCATTAGAATATGTTTCATGCTAAACATCTAAGGTCTAGCTTGTTGGGTTTTTGAAAAAAGATTTTTAAAGTTTTTTCTTTACACATATACTAGTATTTAAAAACAATGACATTCCTGGGGCAGGGCCAGTTTTGACCCCAGGGCTTTTATTTGAACAATCTTTGTAGACACTTACTAGAAGATGTTTCATGCTTAATATCTAAACTCTAGCTATTCAGGTTATTTCCAAGATTTTTAAGTTTTGCTTTATACATATAAGGAAAAACAATGTCCCCTGGGGCGGGGCCAATTTTGACCCCAGGGTTCTTAGTTGAAAAAGCTTGGTAGACATCCATTAGAACATGTTTCATGCTAAATATCTTAGCTCTAGCTCTTTGGGTTCTTTAAAAGAAGATTTTTAAGTTTTTACTATATTCATATAGGGAAAATCAATGTCCCCCGGGGCGGGGCCAATTTTGACCCCAGGGTTCTTAGTTGAAAAAGCTTGGTAGACATCCATTAGAACATGTTTCATGCTAAATATCTTAGCTCTAGCTCTTTGGGTTCTTTAAAAGAAGATTTTTAAGTTTTTACTATATGCATATAGGAAAAATCAATGACCCCCTGGAGTGGGGCCAATTTTGATCTAAGGGCTTTTATTTGAACAAACTTGGTACACACCCATTAGAAGATGTTTCATGCTAAAATTCTTAGCTCTAGCTCTTTGGGTTCTTTAAAAGAAGATTTTTAAAGTTTTTACTATATACATATAGGGAAAATCAATGACCCCCTGGGGCGGGGCCAATTTTGACCCCAGGGTTTTTTATTTGAACAAACTTGGTAGACACTCACTAGAAGATGTTTGATGCCAAATATCTAAGCTCTAGCTCTTTTTGTTTTTTAGAAGATGATATTTAAAGTTTTTTCTTTTGGTTGCCATGGCAACCAGAGTTCTGCATGGAATTAAATTCTTTGAACAATTTTCAAAGGTGACCACCAAAGGAACATTCCTGTGAAGTTTGGATGAAATTGGCTCAGTGGTTTATGAGGAGATGTCATTTAAAGTAAAAGTTTACGGACGACGGACGGACGGACGCCGGACGAAAAGCGATCACAAAAGCTCACCCTGTCACAAAGTGACAGGTGAGCTAAAAAGGCATCTTTTGTGTTTATATTAAAAGCTATTTTATACAATTTTCTATTATTTTTCCTTTAACTAACTCGGAATTGTCTATGAATTTCTACTACATTTCTATTTAGGGCGCTTTGTTTTTTGCCCTACGCAGTTTGTGCATGCGCGAGAAAATACTACTTCCGGTCAATTTTTCATAGCAACGGACCGCGTCGCAAAAAGGTCTATAGTAATTGTGTTTACCTCTAACTAAAGGGGGCAATACACGGTTTTCAGGGCTTCTCGGCAAACACAAGTCTGTAATCACACACCTGAAATAAAATCATTTCATAATTAACATATACATATGTATCTCACAACAAACAATTAAAAATACATGTCCATTGTTCTACGACAAAAAGAGTGGATTATCCGTATTCGCAAAATAACAAACATATATTAATGTCACAAAATTAATTCACAAGCTTTATGGTTTCTTTCTTCTTATACAATTCACTATCTGAAAATAATATCCAAACGGGAGACATGCAATAATTTTTTTTTACTATTTTAAATCTTCATCATACCCATTAATTTTAAGAGCTGTTTCACCGGCTAGCTCCGAAAACCACGCATTCATTCGGAACTGCCTCGGCTATTATCTATAATTACCTCGGAAACAATACGGATTGATATGAAAACAGAAACAGAGATAAAGTAAAACGAATGTATATATTTGACATCCAAAGCGGGTTTTTTTTATATCATTAATATTGGTTATTTGATAGAATTTCAAGTTCCTGTGGTAGCGACAACACGACAAAGCGCCAAACGGCGCTTTGTTGCGCTCTAGCGAAGCACTCCATAAGGCGCGTTGTAGCACGGCGCAATGTCGCACTGTCGCTTGGCTTATAAGCCAATCCTTCGATTTGAACCGAGTGACATCGCGACAACACGACGTACGAGAACGCGTCGTTTGGTGTACATCGTTAGCGACAGGACGACAAGACGAAAGTCCGACAACGCGCTGTTTGGCGCTTTGTCCTGTTGTCGCTAGTGCCAACACGACGCACAAAAGCTTTTCAAATCAGCCACCATACAAATATGATATTACTTTGTATCTGAACTAGTATAGTGTCATTTTGCGCGTTTAAAATATTTCTTCATTTTCTGTAAATACATAGTGTTCCCTCTTCAAATCAGACGAGTCTATTTAGTTTATTGTATCGTCAGTTATAGCCCGTTTGAAGTCAAAGGAATTGACACTGCTGTACAGGCGTTATCGAGTATCACTGTTGAAAGTGTTGAATAATATAGCACGAAGAAAGCGCGCGTTAGTGAACGACCACGAGTTCTATTTACAATCGCAACTTTTTCGGCCTTTCCTCCAGTCTTCGGATAAGGATGAAGATGTCCCGACTGACATTTTACACAATTTCGGTTTACGGCAATCAATCTCTCGCAAATCTGCATTATGTACTTTATCATCAGCAGCATATTTTTCTTCGATTTGTTTCTTGAGAACTCTAAATAAGAAAATAATATATATTAAACTTTAAAAGCTACATTAAATAATTAAAATATGTAAAAATATTTTGCCGTCGCCTAAAAATCAAACATTCTACAGTTTCATTAACCTGTTAAACAGTATTGTTGTAAATCTCATCAAATATTGTTCATAAATTAGGATTTTAAACGGAAAACCCCACTGGTAACATACGAATTTTAACATGCAAATGAAGACATATAAATCAGCTCGTGTAACTGCGCTACGTCACAGTTTTATAGTTGCTATCCAGCACACAGCAAATACGATATTTTCTTGTGCAAACGCACTTTAACCGTTTAAGCTTCACGGTGCACTTAGCCTGGGGTTCAGTGAAAGTAATCATCTCGTAAAAAGATTAAATTTGTATGAAAACATCCGTTACAATGCGGAAATATACACCGTTAAATTAGGACTGCTACTTATAGTACGGATGATCCGAAGGCGGAGTTTCTCATGCAAAGAGAAATTGTACTTCCCATTTCGCCACAATGAGGTTACCCCTTTGTATGCTAATAAAACTCATTTTGGTTGTCTGGACACCAAAATAAGACCTGGAGTCGATATAAAACCTAATTTATTAATGAAATGTCGCTATTTAGTTTTTTATGAAATTTATAAAATGTAGCTTTAAAGATATATGTAAATCTTTTTTTAACCTGGACACCTGTTGAAAATGATATTAATAAATTTAGTGTTGCCCTAGAAAGAATTTTGATAAGCAGGACTTGTGAAATTGAGGCTTGAACTGGAGGAGACCAAAAAGATGTAAAGACCCTGCAACTCAGCTGAGTTTGTATCGAAATTACAAAGGAACATGCACATGTTTGCATTTGTGTCATTGTAACATGGATGCATGTCAGATGTTGAGATCTAATTGAACTTTTTGAAACTGGTGATGATGTGATGGGTGATAAAGGGTTTTCATTAAGGAAGGAAAGTGTCATTGAATATTTCAGCATTTGTATAAAAGACAAATTTACACTAGAAAATGAGAGAGAATGATCAGCAAGAAGCAAAAACCAAAAGAATTAAAGAGTATCATCTGTTTCATTCGGAACTGCCTCGGCTATTATCTATAATTACCTCGGAAACAATACGGATTGATATGAAAACAGAAACAGAGATAATGTAAAACGAATGTATATATTTGACATCCAAAGCGGTTTTTTTTGGATATTATCATTAATATTGGTTATTTGATAGAATTTCAAGTTCCTGTGGTAGCGACAACACGACAAAGCGCCAAACGGCGCGTTGTTGCGCTCTAGCGAAGCACTCCATAAGGCGCGTTGTCGCACGGCGCAATGTCGCACTGTCGCTTGGCTTATAAGCCAATCCTTCGATTTGAACCGAGTGACATCGCGACAACACGACGTACGAGAACGCGTCGTTTGGTGTACATCGTTAGCGACAGGACGACAAGACGAAAGTCCGACAACGCGCTGTTTGGCGCTTTGTCCTGTTGTCGCTAGTGCCAACACGACGCACAAAAGCTTTTCAAATCAGCCACCATACAAATATGATATTACTTTGTATCTGAACTAGTATAGTGTCATTTTGCGCGTTTAAATTATTTCTTCATTTTCTGTAAATACATAGGGTTCCCTCTTCAAATCAGACGAGTCTATTTAGTTTATTGTATCGGTCAGTTATAGCCCGTTTGAAGTCAAAGGAATTGACACTGCTGTACAGGCGTTATCGAGTATCACTGTTGAAAGTGTTGATTAATAGCATGAAGAAAGCGCGCGTTAGTGAACGACCACGAGTTCTATTTACAATCGCAACTTTTCGGCCCTTTCCTCCAGTCTTCGGATAAGGATGAAGATGTCCCGACTGACATTTTACACAATTTCGGTTACGGCAATCAATCTCTCGCAAATCTGCATTATGTACTTTATCATCAGCAGCATATTTCCTTCGATTTGTTTCTGAGAACTCTAAATAAGAAAATAATATATATTAAACTTTAAAGCTACATTAAATAATTAATTATGTAAAAATATTTTGCCGTCGGCCTAAAAATCAAACATTCTACAGTTTCATTAACCTGTTTAACAGTATTGTTGTAAATCTCATCAAATATTGTTCATAAATTAGGATTTTAAACGGAAAACCCCACGGTAACATACGAATTTTAACATGCAAATGAAGACTATAATCAGCTCGTGTATGCGCTACGTCACAGTTTTATAGTTGCTATCCAGCACACAGCAAATACGATATTTTCTTGTGCAAACGCACTTTAACCGTTTAAGCTTCACGGTGCACTTAGCCTGGGGTTCAGTGAAAGTAATCATCTCGTAAAAAGATTAAATTTGTATGAAAACATCCGTTACAATGCGGAAATATACCGTTAAATTAGGACTGCTACTTATAGTACGGATGATCCGAAGGCGGAGTTTCTCATGCAAAGAGAAATTGTACTTCCCATTTCGCCACAATGAGGTTACCCATTTGTATGCTATTAAAACTCATACATCATGAGAATGATCAGCAAGAAGCAAAAACCAAAAGAATTAAAGAGTATCATCTGTTTCACACACCTATTTCATTTCTGTCAACCAGGTATGGACAGTAGCATGTACACTACCGGTACCTAATTTTAATGAACCCTTTATGCAATCATGGACAAAATGTAATAGTCTGTCTTATGTATTATATTGTTTTTATATGTATATATAAATTGGTTTTCAATAAAAAAAAGGATAATGATAAACAATATAATATTAGGAAGTATTAAAGTTTAGTCTTTATTAAAATTTTGAAATAAATAAGAAAATTCATTCTTTCTCTGTTATCTATGGCATTTCCCTTAATTATACTGCGCAACCAGTATCTATCTGCTGGTAGTACTGGAATTCATAAAGTACATGTATACATAGAATTTGGCTAGGCATATTAGTTTATTTCAGATACTGTGGTAAACGGTCTTTATAACTGAGTCAATACATCTTTGATATAATCCACCCAATACACATCTGATTAAGATTTTCCACAGGTCATTAGGGGCTTATCTGTAAGATTCAATTTGCAATTACCTTTATGTTGGCATCAAGAATACATTAGTAACAGAACAACTAAGATTATATAAAACAAGACACCACAGATTTATATCTATAAACCTTATATTATGTTAGGAAATATGCTTACGACAGCAAAATTGAAACCGAAAGTAAAAAAAATCTCTTCTCTTACTCACATCTTAACCCATAAATGGATACCTCACAAATATAATTGAATTCTTTATAGAGGGATTACCTTTGTTTTGTTCAATATATAACTCTACAAATGAGAAATTAATGTTAGGAACTAAAGATAAGTCAATTTCATTGTATGCACAGCTTATACTGGCTTATCAGCTTGCCAGTTACATCTCGTTCTGGTACTAAATATACGACCAGATCATCTCATTTATCGGGTAAAACGTAGTTTATCTTCCCAAGTAGTGCGTAGTAAAGCTATTTAAAACTGTCGGACTTTCCTATTTTTGTTGCTATTTTTAGCTCGGAAAAACCGAATCGCAAATGTCAATATCTATTTATACACATTTCCTCATAGGCTAAAAACGGCGCAATAAATACTATCAAAATAAGTTATGCAAAAACATGTTATTTATATATTTGTCCAATAGGATTGCAATATTTTAAATGAATCGTAAACACATTCGACTGTTTATAGCAACTTAAAAACTTTAATTTACGTCGTTTCCTTGGTTTCCTTGAAGCTTAGATATTGTACAACTTCACATGTTTCCATGAAATAAGACAAAAATTCGAATAAACAGCGGTGCGCATGATGGGCATCGAGTATACGTGTCCCACTTAGTTTTAAAAATAATCAAAGTATACCAATTCTAAAATGAATGTTTATATTAATGCGTATTATAACTATTTTTTACCCAAAATTTTCTAAATTTAGATGTTAATTTATTGCAAGTTACAACTTAGATCTATGTACAACTTTTTGTTTGCAATTTGTATCAAACTCATTTATTTCATAAAAGATATATTATGACACTATCCTACATAATTACTGATGTCTACAAAAAACTGTAAAATATTTGATATATAAATTTGAACTGAAGAACATTTCAACGATAAATTATTATCTATCAATCAATATGATTGTATGAGCCTTTTATTAGTAGAGTATTGTATACATGTAGAATTGCAGATGGCTGATGCATATCTTTAAATTATTAACGTGACTATTAAAGAACAGAAAGTAAAGTGATACTGTAAGGTGATACGGCTGATACAGTGATAAAGGGTATAATTATTAATTATATAGCAATATCTGATTTTTTGTAGAATTTATAAACGGTTAAATTATGTTATATCCATAATCGCATGGTCGCTTCTCTAAAGAACATCTCTGTTAATTAACACACATCAAAATTGTACATAAATAGAATAAAATTATAAAATGTTACGGAAAAAAATCTATGCTGCTATGTTCAGTACGATTTTGACCGTTAAAGGCAATGGTTTTCTGCATATAGACAAAAACACATTTCTTCAATACAGTACAGATTTTTCTTTTCAAAATTAAAAAGAAAATACTTAATATATAAACTACAGTACTTGACACCAGATATTTTGTTTGATTTTTCAGAGCTCATCGATAAGGGTCGTCAGACCAGTAAGATGTGTTAAACTATGAAATAATGGATTTTAGCAATAGGGTTTTTTAAAAAAAAAAATGTGTACAGAAACGAATTAAAATTTTATATAAGACATTGACATTAATTTAAGCTCACTTAGTATACAGATCAAGCTCATAACTGAATTATTTAACATGTCAATGTTCGCGTTCAATAGAGTACATAAAGTATGAATCAATTTTTTTCATTTATAACAA